GCAATATCCTTGTGGTTACAGAAAGAACAAGGGCCTTGACTTTCTCAAGGTCAAAGAAGAAATTTGTGAACTGTGCCATGTAGCATCTCAGTGGTTTTGCTCTGCCTCAGCACAAGCCACAGCATATGGTAGAGAATCTGTGCTGTAGGTTTTTACAAGTGCAAGAACAGAGAAAACTCTTGGGAGAGTGGAATGTCTGATGTCTGATGCTGAGGCAATCACAGATTTTGTGGAACATGCAGGCTTTTTTTATTCTCTTCATGAATTAAATTTAGAATGCTGTATATAGTTCTGTACTTCTCACACATAAATCTACCTATATTGAGACACATGCTTTAACTACTCTCTTCACTTACAGAAAGCCATATTTCATTGAAAATCTTGATATTGTGTATGAGGTTTCCATGTAGTCCTCCCCCATTGTTGTCTGTGGCACTTTGAGGCTGCTGGACACCAAAGAGAGTTTAAGTCCCAAATGAGACTTCTGAGGTTCACTTCAGAAGTGAGGTTCTGGCTCTGCAGGATATTCCAATACCATGTGGAGTTGAGGTGGGGCAGGAAAAGCATGGCCAGGGCATGGAGGGAAATGCGAAAAGTGTGGTAGTGAGGTCACAGCAGACATCATAGCACCCAATTCACTGCCTCTGCATGGACCAGTTTTTGCACGGGGACCAAAAAACCCCCAAAGATCTGCCTGCATGCTGTCTTGTAATCTATTGAGGAAAAGCTGGCTCTGTGCACATGGAAAGCTATTGGGTTTTGTGCATACCAATGACAAGATAAAGGGTTTCTCATATTTGTTCCTAGCATGTTGTTACTTGCAGTAATGCAGAAGGGGTCCTTTTAGGAGAAGGGAGTGAGGAAGGTAAGGGGATGCTGGGTGCTGTTAAGGTTTGTGCTTTTTGGGCTGGGAGTAAAAATTTCAGCATAAAAATTAATCTGCACCTTCATTCTCATAGGGGGTTTTTCTTCATAGAGCAAAGGTTAAGTAATGCATTTGTATGGTAAATGTTGTAATTTCTCAGTTGGCTTGGTTTGAATAGTCAATAATTATTCACTGTGATGCTTGTGACCATATTGAGATTTTATTCAAAAGCCATTGAAATAAGCGCAAGGGGGAAAGTTACTATTTTTGTTTTGTTATTGTTTTGTATAGGCCACATGCACAATGCTGTTCTTCATATTTGAAATCCCTTTCAAAGATATTTCAACTCAAAACACACAAGACCAGATGACCTAGTGATTATGGCTGGTAATGATATTGTGGATTTAGGTGCTGACAAAACCTAACATAATCTGTTTTAATTAACTAACTTTTTTTTCTGTGGTAATATGGTTAGAATCATACTCAAGGACCTTGTATTAGCATTCTTCCTTTTATAATAAAGTCAAAAGGAAGAGACCAGTTTCAGCTTATGTACAATAAAAGAAACTACCATATCCTTTAAAAATAATAGTCATGAGAAAAATGTGTCAAACCCTACACTTTTTAATCCTCTAAAGACTTACTTGTATACTTCAATGGGTCTTTCCGTATGCATAAAGCAAACAGGGACTGTAGATTTTAAAGAGCAAGAGAATTAAAAAACCCAAACCCCCAGTACCTGGAATATAACATGTACACTTTTTTCATAATGTATATGAAATTTAACTGTGCTATGAGCAATGGGTCACCAGTAGTCATTTTGTGTTTTATAATAGCAGCAAATGAGTGAGATAAACTTAGAAAATTAGAAACAATCAGTGGCATAATTGAGAATGGGCTCCACATGTAACAAGGCACAGAGTGCAGGGGGACTTTTCTTTGGGAGCTCAGCCTTGCAACAGGCACCATGTTCTGTGTGAGTTTGTCTTGTCTTTATGTTCTGAGAGGACCTTTCTTTCCATAATTTTTATTAAACAAGTAGTCTGTATCTAACAGTTTACTATGTTACTTTTCAGCACTGTGGTTATATTTCTCTCAGTAGAGGTTGTGCATTTTTTGTAATTTGAATGCTTGGTGAAATTTACATTCTGTAGTCTTAATCCTCCAGTGAATTATCCAAGAATATCCATGGCAGTTTATATTTTGGTTTTTAGCAGAAATATTTTCTTGGCTGCTCATTAAATGAGGAATCCTCTCCCAAGAGTATTTATTTTGACAGACTGTAATTGAGATTATGTACTTCACAAGGAATATATGAATATATGTGAATAAAGAGAGACTTATCATTTCATTCACACTTCAGTTTACCTTGGGAAGTTAGTTTCAGTATGTAAATATGTGTATGCACCAACTGATGCAAATCCTTGAGCAAAGGAGAAGGAATTTGCAGTTCTTCTCTTTAAGAGACTTTGAATTTCTCCAGGTTTCTGTTCTGTCAGGGCCCAGGTGCTTTGCAGTGCTTGGCCACAGCCATCTCCAGATCTAAGCCATTTTTGATGCTCCTTGTGTCAGCTGTGCTACCTGTGCTGAGCACAGTAGTGAGGTTAGATCAAGGCAACCATGAGGAGACCTTTGTAGCTTGCAGAGAAAGACAGATTGCATTGCTGTTAGTAAGAAGGTGAATTTTAAATAAAGCCAGTGTGGAAGATTAGAGAATGGAAAAATGCTGAACGGATTATATTTAAAGATGTTAGAGACAAAAAATGGTGTAATCCAATACATAAATAAATATTTACAGGATGTAAGAAATGAACAAAGGTGTCTAGAGAAATGGAGTATGGGTAATCAATAAGTACTTCTTAAAATATGCACTGTACAAAGTAAACAAAAAGGAAAGAAAATATTGATCAGTATGTGTTGAAAGCTGGTGACAGGGATTAATCTGACTGCACAAAAGACTTAAATCTTCACATAGTTGTTTCAGCAAGATAATATTGTCTGGTCTCTGAATTGCTTTTATCTTGGTAAGGCTTATTCTAAAGCATCTTTAACAAGGCACTGATCACTATTCAAAACTAACAAAAGAGCATAGCTGTATTAAACTTCCAATTTCTCAACAAGAAATAGCAAGATAAAAAATAAAGTATTTAATGAGGATTTCTGTTGAAAGGAAATCAAAACTAAGCCTAGTGCACACATTACTTAAATCAGTTTATTTTCATAAACAGATTTTTAAGTTGTTATTTATATGGAATGTTTGAGTGAAACTGCAGTTCATAACTATTTATGGTTCAGTTGGGTCTTAGGCTGTAGGTGCTGACATCATTATTCAGGCAGAACAGGTTAACAGTTGCTGAAATGAAGAGTTTTTCAATGAGTTTCTGTGATTACATCAACATAAGAATTCAAATTTGTTAGATTTGTGTATTACTGTGGAAATGGAAGTTGGGTAACTGTGTTTGCACAATTGCTTTTAACAGCAAACAAATAAATAAAACAAACCAAATTACATTAAACCTGAAACACTTCATTCAGTACCAGTAAGGATTTACTGTCTAGATCCAGATTTTGTACCTCCTAGTGAGGTACTGGAAGCACTTTTAGTGTAATGTGAACAGGATTTCTTCTTGAATTACAATTTTTCCAGTTATATTTTAAATAGGTGAAAAGCCTATTGGCTTCTTTTTATTTTTAAGATAGTGTTTTAGAAGTACAACTTTTAGAATTTCAGATTCAAATGATGGAGAAATGTCAGGATAAGCTGAGAGCTGAGGCCATTTTGAATGTTAGATCACTGTGGTGTTGAGAGAGCAAGTAATTAAAAAATCAAGATTTGTTACTGTAATTTTCTTTTTAATAGCTCACAGAAAAAAATAACTGATACTTACAAGAGACAAATGCTTGTGTTTAAGTGTGTAAGATTCCAAATGTTTAGTAACAGCACTGTGATATTCATTCTTGAATAATTATTAATTAGTACTGATTAAGGTATTGTACATACCCTAATCAGCCTTTAGTCATTTGCCCAGATTTACCTTGGTGTTGTCATACAATATTTGTGATGAACCTGAGAATTACAAACTTGGAGCTACTGACCCCTAAGTGACATGTGTGCCTGCTGTTCACACTGATGGGGGAGTCTGCACTGAGGAGCTCCAGCCTAGGAAGGAAATGTAGATTTGTCAGCACACAGGGCTTGTGCTGTGCTCTGGTAATTCTATGTGCTGGCTTTCCACCTGGAATATGTGGATGAAAATACTGGTTTGTACATTGTATATTTGGAGAAACTGATCTTTTAAAATAGCAATTTGTTTGGCATGTTCACATTTTGAACTAGAAAAGTGGTTGAAAGAATAAACATAAAATATGACATTTAAGGAGCTGTTGAGTGTGTGAATCTCCAGTTGCTTATCAGCTCCTGTCTGCTGTCATGAATGAGTGTTTTCTATTATTTCCTTAGATTTTTTCTTTTTTATTTACTTTCACTCTCTTTCTGTTTTAAAGTTATTTAGAACATTATGAGATTTATAAAGAAAATCTCTTTTTCTAAAAATATACACCTATCAAAGCACTATCTGGTGCTTCATAGAAAAATAGTCATTGGGTTCCGTGCAAGTTCATTGAGTTGATTTTTTACTCTGGCATGTTTTGCATAAGCTTCAGGGCATGAGAGTAAGGCATTGTAATCACCACTCAAATCAAGAAACCCTTATATTTTGGGGGTAGCTAAAGGAGATCTCTGACTCTTGTGGGATATTAGAGAGCTCTGATTGTTCTTTCCTTAAGCCAGAGAAACTCTGTGGTAGTAGGGCTCTTTATCCTATTGATGGTAAAATCTTTGCTAAGAAAAGCTGAAAAACAGCATGTAGGGCAGAGAAAAGACTAAACTGTACTGATTGTCATTGTTGTATATCTCTGAGTGTACTGGGGCCATTTTCTAAAACTTCCGAGGAGGTCACAGCTGCATGAACCTTGCCTAGAGGAGAGCTTCAGAGAAGCACCCATTCTGTGGAGGAATGAAGCAGCCCAGATCTCCAAGTATCCGTGCAGTGCTAGTGAAACCAGGAGGTGCTGCAGCCCCTTTGGCAGGTGCTCTTTTCTGTGCTTTCCTAACCGTGCCCTTTGCTGTCCACAGAGAGCGAGGAGGTGTACCAGCGCCAGGTGCTGTCCATCGCCTGCATCGTCTTTGGCATCGTCGTGGTGGGCATGCTCTGTGCAGCCTTCTACTTCAAAACAAAGTAAGAGCCTTCCTCCGCTGTCTCTGAGGTTTAGCTGCTGTCCTTTTTACAGCCTTGGAGTTCTTCAGCTTCTCCCCTCCTTTTGAAGTTGCTGTTAACTCTGGTCTGGCTGCAGCAGTTCCCCATGGCTGCACTAAGTCATCCCCAAAACATAAACAGGAGCAATATGTGTTCTTCCTTCTGTTTTCTGATATCATGAAAGAATAGATTGTGTCATATCCAGTTCTCTTTTTTTGGCAGCAATACTTTTGTGTCATTTACCATCAGTGCAATAATCACTTTGCTCTTCTGGAAACAATAGTTTAAACATACCATCTCCTTTTTGCATTTCATTTCATATTCCCGAGTGTCCATTTCTGTATGCTGACAACAAAGCTAAAGTTAGAAATGCAAATATCTGTCTGTACCTAATCCAGCAGCCTGTTGATGAAGATGCATATGAGTGCCTGTAACACAGAAGCACTTTGACCTATTCAAGTAGTGAAATCATCTGGACCAAACTAGTTTCAGGTGAAATACTGTCCACTCTATTATTTTATCTTCCCAACTGAATATTATTTTATAACATTTATTGTTATGTGTGTAATCTGAGTTGCAAAAACCTCATAGCAGTTACATGACATGCTTGTCAGTGCCCCTATATCAATAAATATGTTCTGTATGGTGGTCATCCTTCACTCCTGTTCCAGCTGGAGTTAATGAGAGAACACAAATCAATATAAAAAAGTACCTACATGAGGTTAGTCAGGGTGGCTGAGCATGAAAAATGTGGGGGCTGGCACTATTTTAAAGTTTGGATGTTTATCTGAATCCCCCTTCCTAGAATTTATTTTGATGTTTAGGAAATCTAATGAGGATTGAATTTTAGTTAGAAAAAAAATTTTAATTGACTACTCTATTGGGGCAGGGGGAAGGCACCAGGTCCTTTTTACTCCTTTTTCTTCCTCTCAAACTTCAGGGGTAGGCCATGAGTGAAGATTTGAGTCGGTTCACCTTTTTTCCAAATTATTCTGATGTCCTGAGGGATTTTGTTTAATTACTCTGTGGGCATCCAGAGTGACAGTGATGCTGGCTGGGAAGGACAGGCTGGCAGGACAGTTCCTCCCTGCAAACTCCTTCGCTGCGGTGTAAACTGTGAGCAGAGACAGCCACTTTGGCACTGCCATTAGGAATGTCATCATGCATTTTGGATCTGCAGATCTAAGGAGAAAGAGTGAGTGAGAATCTCCCTGGAAAGGCTTGAGGGTTTTGCTGATGAAGAGAGTTTCAGAAAGGCAGGATGGGATTGTCAGTAGGAAGAACATGCAGTCAATGAGCAAGAATAAAAAGGCTGTGAATAAAAAGCCCCTCTTTTATTCACAGTGCCCCTCTTGGTCCTGTACTGCTGTAGGGAGTGGTGAGAGCTGGGTTGGAACAGCCTGAAAAACACCCTGGCTTTGATGAGGTGGTGAGGAGAGCTAAGTCTGAAAATAATGAGTGGAAATAACACTTGAAATAGGAACTTACAGGAAAATAGTGCATCATAACTCAGGAGGGGGTGTTGGGTTTGGGACTTTGTCTGCATTATAAATATGAGAGTTACTGAGAAGAGTTGAAGTGGGCTGGTGCCAGACTCTGGGAACTGAAGTTTGGAGAGTTATGAGAAAATGAGCACCTCTGGTTCAGTCAGGAAGCCTCAGACAGTGTACAAGGGAGACTGATCAGTCCCTACACCCTGGCTGCAGCTCCATCTGGTGCTGTCCAAAAAGAAAATAAAAATGTCTAGACTGAAGCCCAGGTAAAAATGTAAATGTAACATTGGCCAGTTTCTTAAGGGTGCAAAACCCAACAAATTTGACACTCAACACTTACCATATGTTAGCTTTGAGTCAGCGGGTTTTTGGGAGCTTCTTTATCAGGCAAATGTACCCTGACTGTGCTTAAGAATTATCAAAGCATTCCTCCTGCATGGGGGTTATCTTGGGGTTTCATTTGACGTACAAAAAATTTAGAATATTGCTAACAGATATAGAAACTCTGAATAGTGCATCTCTTAAAAGTTTCCATGAAGATCCTGACATACTTAGTCCGACAATTCTATAATACCAGCTGCTAGAAATAGGCACTTCCCTATATGCCATTGAATTAAAAGTCCTATTTTAAAATAAATTCAATCTGAGAAAGTTTAAGACTATAATTAAACTCTCTGCCCTTCCAATTATTCCTTTTAGGTTAATCAAGAAAGTGCTGGAAGTGTTAGCAACAGATGAAGAGTACAGTAATGGGCTGCCCTTTACAACTTAGACTTTTACAAATGGCTAGTGACTTTATTTCTTGCTGAAGTAACAAAACTTCATTGCCAAATAACTCTAAAGTAGAACACATAAGGCCCATTTGTTTTGAAAACAAAACTTATAAAATAAATTTATTAATCAGCAAGTAACTTTGAATTATTAATGGTTTCTACTTTTATAGCTGTGCATCCTATAGTTTGGCAAAATGAATATGCATAAACCTGATATTAATGTTAGGTTGCATGAACATAAAAGGAAATTAATGATTGGATTGTTTTTCTCAGCAAATTACCTTCAGGAATTTCAATTGTAATGTTAAAGACTGCACTAGTGAAGCTGAATTTTGGAGTTTACTTACACATGCTTATAAATATAGAAACAACTCTATTTATTTTTATAAATAAACCCAAAAATTGTTTTGTTATTTTCCTGATTAAATTGTCATTTTGTATGTATATGAGAGGTTCCCAACATCTGATGCTGTGATTATTTTTCACTATCACTGTTCATACCTTACATAAAGTCATGCAAAAAGTTCTTGAAGGTTTCATGACCATTCTGGAGACCAAGGAAGAGACTGGTTTTCCAGCAGGACATAGGAATAGATGTGCTAATTTCTTCAGTGTATGTAATTTAGTTGATAGTTTGTAAAAACACTAAAGTTGCTTTTATGGATCTCCCCTGGAATTTTATGAGACGCTAAAGAGCTCATTTAGACATTTTACAAATGAAATTGTTCAATTTCATTGGATTCAACAATTAGTGGATATTAAAAACATTTTTAAAAGAGATGTTTCTGACTCAACTGACTAATTTAATTTGACGCTATATTCCTTCAGATTATTCCATGTTAATTCTACCAGTTTTGGCTAAAGAAAATCTTGAATGTTTTTGTGAAATTATTTTGAGAAATTATTTCCTCACCTACCTCTATTCATAGATTTTACTAATTATGAGCTCCTAGCAATACTCAAAACATACCACTCATATTTGTAACATGCTTACACTATAAATTCATTCTTTTCCATTTGCTTCAAAATAGGATGCAAGTAGAAAGCTTAAGAGGTGCTTAGAGTCCTGGATTTGTTATGGCTTATGACCTGTACTCAGGAAACAAGCTGTAACAAATACTTCTAAGCAGGTGCTTACAATTTGTTGAATTTAAGCAAATGTTTACATTGTGTCATACTGAACCAAAATGAAGGGACTCAAGAAATATTGAAACTATGTTATTAAAGTTGAATATATGAACTGTGATACTGCTTATTACTTACTTTCATATTGAGGGAACTTGTCCTCTCCCACAGGCCCCTCCACTGAACACATAAGTAAGTCTTTTTCCTCTGCTTTCTTGTACCTTCCAGCAGTAGACAGAGATTCCACTGTGAATAAGAAATTAAAATTAATTTTACACTTCATTCAGTGTCAAATTCACTGTCTGGCACAAGGTCCTATCAAGTTTAATGATGTCATAAGTCTTTCCAAAATCAAATCACCAGAAATGTTTCAAAATGCTGCTGAAGCTGCTTTGCTAAAATTTAAATTTTAAATATATAAATTTAAAATTTATAGAAAGGCTGTATTTTCTCTATCGCTTATAAATACGTGCCAGAAATCACTTCCTTCAGAAATCTGGCTCGGCACCAGTTGCTGTCCAAAACCTGCTGGTTTTATAATGAAATGCTGCTACTGGTGAGTCCTTGACATTACTGGGTTGTTTCCAAGGCCATTGTATGTTCAGTGCTGGAGATGCATCTTGTGTGGAGAGAAAGAAAGAAGGGAAGGAAAGAATTAAAATGGTATTGTGAATATTTTTGCTCATACTTGTTTAAAGCTGATAGTCCCAGACAATGTAGCTTATTAAAAAAAAAAAAAAACTGATAAAAGAGCTTAAATGTATTTTGCTAACAGTTTTTGCTCAGCTGAGATAACTTTTTGCAGAAGATAAAAGTAACATTTAAAGTTTTCTGTTTCATAGCCTCTATCATGTACAGAATTTAAAAAGTGTTTGTCACTTCCACTCAATATAGTGTGGCAGAAACAGAAAGTCTTTGTTAACAGCATAGTTATCTCCTGAATAATGCAAGGGATTCTTCCAGTGGTATTCCTAGCTCTGACAGGGTGGATTATAGTATAATAAGTCAAAAACACAGTTTCAGTGGCCACAGAGAAGTTTTTTTCCAGGTTTAAACATATAAGCAAAAGCTGCTCTATACAAGATGTGTTATAGGTCAAGTCTAATCAGCTGGCAGAAATCTTTGATTCTTCATCAATTTTTATAGCCAGCAGGGGCTAATGCCTGTTTTATTCGCCAAAACCCTTTTTTCCAAATGAGAGCAAAATGCTTTTTTATTATTCAGACTGACTTGCAAGTTATTGTTAAATGTGCAATAGATGATCTTAGAAAACTGCACTAGCACAACGAGCACACTATTATAGTAATCTGAGAATAGAAGGTATTTTAGAACAGAAGAGAGGGTTTTTCTCCCTTTGTTAAGCCTTGCCAGGAAACAATGGCTGCATTGGAATATCAGACATTAGTGAATTAGCACAGCTGGCTCATCTAACACGGTGAAGTTTTGAACAAAGGGAGCTATGGCTATAAAAGTATCATGGCTATAGCAGAAGATGAAGCAAGCTCTTTCTTACATGAATTTTATTTCTCTCTGCAGGAAACAAACCAAGCAGATTCATGAACAGCTGAAAGAAACGCAGAATAGGAAAACCTACAGTCTAAATGCTTCCAGCATGATGGCAAAGTCGGAGTGTATGGCTCAGAGCCAAGTCCAGCTGCAAAATGTAAGTAATCCTGCCAGCTACAGCACTTAATGGCCTGGCTGAGTTCCTGCTGCTGATGGCAGCACATCGTCATGCTGCTATTAACATCTGAGCAATGGGAACCACAATTCTCACCTCCTTCATAAAATGTTTTCTATCAGGCCTCTTAATGGAAAGCAGGGATTTTTTTTCTAAAGTTATTTCAATGGATCCTGGTACATTTTGTTCATGTGGCAGACTTTGCTGAGCCCCCCAGCTCTGCATTCAGCAGTGGAAACTGCTTTTATAGTTTCCAGCAATACCTGAGGTCATATGTGTCTGTATGTGTAGTGGGAGGTCCCTGAAATTAAGTAATGTCATGCCTTCCAATAATTTATGAACCTGTGTGAAAAAAACCATAGAGATTTGTCACAGTTAATTCAGAGTAAATTCCAAATCTAGAACTAAATTTACACATGTAAACGAATGCCCAAGGGAAGACCGTGCAGATGGTCTCATTTTTCTGGGTCTTTATTTAAAGGTACTTTAGTTTACAGAAAGAAATTAGTCTGTTCAAACTAAATTTGAAATATATTTAATCATTTTCTGAATATAATTATATGTAAGTCATTGCAATCTCACAATCATGAAATATGTAAAGCGTGTTTGCAATAAGGAACTTGAAAACAACCAATTTATTTAGCCCTGCTATTTTTTAGGAATATATTTTCCAGTATATGTCACATTCTCTTTCCCCTGCTCACACACAATCAATGCCATCATACTTTGAACAAAGCCTTTGAAAAAAGGGTCCTAGTAGCAATGTAATAGGAAAATATAAAAGATTTATTAAAACCTTTCTAAATTATTAACTCTTTTTTTTTTTTATTATTATCTTAGTGTTGCTTAAAGGAATGACTACCTTATTGGCCAGATTCCGCCAGAATAGTGGGAGTTTAGCAAAAGTGAGCACTCATGCCCACTTAACCAGACTTCTAATTCACATCCAATTAATTTAGAGATAAATGTAAGCCCTTTTAACCAATTTAGAGTAAGCAGAGCCTCCCTGCTAAGACACAGAGGCTGTGAGAGCATTGCTTGTATTCTAAAGCAATACTAAAAGTTCTGTTTTGTAGAAACACTATTGTGGTGCTCCTATATAAGCTCATGATATGCTTTGTAATTCAGGAAAAAAATACTCTTTCAAGAAGGAAGATAGCTCCTCTAAATTGACATAATCACAATTTGGGGAACTTTGTGCAATTTTTTTCTCTCACTTTCAGTTCATTCAGCCTTATATTATTTCTAGCTCCTAAAAAAATGCTGTTGGGAGTGTTGTTGGCTGTAATGATGGTAACAAAAGGTAAAGTTCTTGATCCTTTTGTTCTATCCTATGAAATAAGCCTTGGTTAACACTAAGAATGTGTTCTTTGGCATTTTCTCACTGCAATTCAGTGCAATATTTTGTCATTTTCTTTTGCTATAACCATAGCCATAATGGCTGAAATAGCAGTTCACAGACTCTGGACATAGAGATTGAACAGCATCGTTATATTTATTATTTTAATCCAAATTTGATTTTCAGTTTTTATTGCTGTTCAGCCTGACATTATGAGTGCTGGTAATTAACACACCATTTTCTTGTTTTTGTGGCTGTTTGCAGGCAACTGTTTTCTCCTTGCCATTAATGCATTCTCCCTTTGGGAAGATAGGAAGGAAGAAAAACAGCATGACCTTGTGCAGGATGTAGTGTAACAGTGTAATAACGGTTCCTATTGTTAGGAAGATTTTAGTGCAGGAATGCATGCAGGCAGCTCATGAAATATTTACAAAACTTGCCAGAATGGAGGGGGGGAAAAGGGCAGGGGTTTGGTGAGGCAGCAGAAAAGGGACTTTGGAAAGGTATTTTGTAGGAATGGCTGACTCCCCCTCAGAGAGCAGAGATCTGCCTCGGGCGTATCTGCTGGGTGGGAAGGGCATCAGGCAGCCTGGATGTGATCCCACTGTCATTCCCATCTGCACCTGCCACTGCTTGGGCCTGGGGGAAATCCTAGTTCACTTCCAGGAGCTAATAATAAACTTAAATAAATGAGGGCAATTACTTTCTGGAGACTACTACTCCTAACTGGCACTTTGGTTTAGGTAATCCTGGAAGTTGTTTCTTTTCCCACTCCACATGCTCCCCATACAAGCAAGAAAGTTTTCCCATTTTTGCAACCTTTCTGTCTTTCCCTAGAAGATTATCTCAGATTTTTCTCTTGTCGCTTTTGAATAGACCTTGTGATGCTTTCAGGCTTTTCACACAGCTCTTCTTCAGAGGAGGAGAATGCTTTTGTGGAAACCTGAGAAAAGTTGCATAAGGTTCCTTATTCTTGACTATTTTGAAAGAACCATCACCTTTTGACTGAGAGGTTGCTATATTTAGTTAAGGGCCCATCTATCTTTCCAAATGTGTTGCTTTAGAAGGAGGTTTAACTTATTTCCCAAGGCCCAGGGTATAGCAGACAAGGTTTCAAGTGGTTTGTGGCTATAAAGAGCTTGACCAATCTCAGTGAAGTAATTCTTCCTCCCATACCCAAGTGTTTTACATCTCCTCCACTCCCTGCCTCTGCTCCATTGTGATTCTGAAAAATGAAATAAAGGGTTAGATTTTGTCAAGACAACTGTGTTCTCTCTGAAGTCCTGCTACTCATCACTGGTAATTGTGCTCACCTGTCTTATCCTCGGTAGCGATTTCATTATTTTCTTAGAGGTACAAATTAGATGAAAAATACTGTGTGCTGTAAGAAGGATTCATAAATATCTGTTTCAACACAGCTCCTAGGATTTCCTGAATCTCCTCCAAGTCCACTGCTTTTCCCAAACATTCTGGCAGCAACACACTTAAATTCTTGCTAGGTATTTCTTGCTAGGATTTCTAACCTCTTGGATTTAAAAACTAATGCACTGGTAATCTTGCCAGGAAGAGATGTGCCATCTTTTAATCTTTGTGGTACACAGGAGATGGAGATTAACTTCACCTAATGCATGAAACCTGAGGCTTCCCAAGTATTATGTACCCATTCCCAAAGAGATCATGCTCCTTTCAAGAGATATTTAAAGAGCTGAAGCAAACAGGTCTCCACGTAACCAAAAGGAAGGAAATTGTCATTCTCCCCATCTAGAAAGACAAGTGCTTGGTGCACCCTCATACACCATGCAGGTGGCAGAAGGAGTTGGGGTGGCTCCTGATTCCTACCTGCTTTTACCACATACAGTAGAGGCCTTCTTTTTAAATTCTCACAGCTTGGTAAATATATCATGGACAAAAAATTTAAAAAGAGTCAGCTGAAAACTTGACATTCCTTTAGTGATTCAGAGAATTGTCATGGTTTTTTAGAGTGGCCTTTTTCATCCTCGTGGTTTTTAATACCTTCTTCCATGGTACCAAGAGGATCTATTAATTTCCCATCACTGTCCCTCTGAGGTGGTTAATATGCTTTTCAGGCTGTACTGTGTGGTTTCAATTTTCACTACACTTGTTTCTAGTAGCTTGCAACCAGTAGCTTCAGGTTTCTGAAATTCTTATAACAAGGGACAAAAATTGTTCCTTTTGCATCTTTTTGCCTTTTGTTCTTAGTATGAAGAAATAAAATCATTTCAGTCATTGTGATAGAAATGCAATTAATATATGTCAAGCAAGAGATACTTTAAATCTTTTAAAGGAGTACTCTGTGGGTTTACGTGAATTACCATTTGATTTACCAGCTGAGATCAAGAACAAATTTCCCATTTCTGTATCACATGGCTACTTAGGAAAAAGTGCCAGAATAGACAAACCTAAATTCCTCTGTCTAGAGGCAGTGTTGGCAACGAAACAAACAGGGCATAGGGAAACAGTAAGGATGTTAAATGACCACCTGATGAGCTTTTGTGCAAGCTCAGCCCCCTCAGAACAATCACTGGCTCTTTTCCTCCTTGAGGCAACCTCTCTGAATGTCAATCCAAGCTGACCTCTCTGCCTTCTCAGTTCTTTTTGGAATGAGATACCCACATCACCTCTCTTCCAATGAATTTCTGGACCTTTTACTATTCTGGAGGAACCACTGAGGGGGAGGAGCTAAGTAAAGCCCGGGGGTGGGATGGGTGTTTTGGTTTGCACAACACCAGGACAGCAGGGTCAGGCTGCTCTGCAGCATTCGAGTGGCATTTGTTACCCCTGAGCCCTACATTTCAGAACAGGGAATTCAGGGTGCAGAGCAGAGGAGTTCTGTGCTCACAGCAATGCAGCAGGTCAGTGACAAAGGCTGATTTCTTTCTTCCTGGCTCAGGCTGCCTTCACAGATTCACTTAGCATTACCTAGCAGGGGGTGCAATTTTTATTGTCAGAGAGTTGAGTAATTGCACGTAATAGATTATTTTCTCCATGAAACAATGAAAAATTGAAAATTTGCAAAATGCTTTTTTTTTTTTAAGCTATCATTATTCTTTAATTTATTTAGCCATATGCCTCAGTGTTTCCAGTAATTGCTAAACAAGAACAGATAATTAACCAAGAAGGCAATAAAACCATTAAAAAACCCAAATACAGATAAGCTTTCAGTGATGCTTTCAGGCTACTGGAACAGGCCTTTGAAAGGGTCTCACAGCTTGTTTTCCATCATGGCTGAGTATTCAGCAGCTCACAATAGTCAGAGGCTTCCGTGGAGCTCAGCTCAGGTGAGAACGGAGCTGTGAGAGCAGCAGGATGAGCCCTGCTGGGATGTGGCTGGGGAATGATCCCATAATGTACTTCTGGGGGCACCAACTGATACTGCTGCAAGCTCTCCACAAAAGTGTGAAGGTGTTTTCCTCCAGAAGTGATCTTAGAGAATGGATGTGACACCTGGAGTTAAGCTAAAGGTGAATAAACCCAACTGTGTTTAAATATATTAAAATGTATTAATAACCTGGTGCATCCAGATCTGTTCAGTTACATTGTTAGAATTCCCTGTATAGTCACACCCTCAATTTAAACTCTAATTCACATTTTCATTGTAATGAAATATTAGGCATGGTATGACTGTGTATTAAGTGGCATATCTGAAAAAGGGACAAATGTTCACTTACGGGGAAAAATACCCTTTGTAGGCTGTGCCTGAGTGGTGCTGGACCTTCATTAAAGTTTGCTGCTCAGCGTCAGAGCAGCTTCTGGTGTCCTGGTGTTCTTCAGCTGTCATAAGGAAAGGCTCTATGTACCCCTGCTCCAGCCCACATCCACCTGAAACAAGGATGTAGCAAAAGGCAGGGCTTATCTCTGCTCTCCATGATTTACTTCTTACTCTTGGTCCTACAGGCCATTCAGGCCTTCAGTTTTTTACCATGAGCAAACTCAAACAAAGGACAGAAATAGCTTCTTGGCACTAGCAGGCCATTCTTTACATAGCTCAAATTGATTTATTCAGGTCAGAAATCAAATCCAGTTTCATTTCTGCAGCTGGTAAGATAACTATTAAAGTTTAAAACCTTCACCAATGCAAGTACCTTAAAAATCATATTTCTGTCTGAATATTTTATCTACAATATTTACAAGTGACATCTAAGATCATGGCAACTGAAAGAAATGGGAGTGGAATATGTTTCTTATTATTATTTCAGTTGTGTTTACTTCATGCATGCAGCACCATTTTGCATATTGCCACTCACAGCTTTGCCTTCAGAAGCACAAAAGCAATGATTCTTTGTTTAACTTGGGTATTTCACTCAACAGAGAGAGGGAGGAGTGGAGAAAAATTTGAAGAGCTGTGATTTTATCTATAGAAATTGGTCATAAGAAGTCTGACTGGCTGGACTAAAAAAAAGTACATGTAACCTATTTTTAAAAGAGAATATTCTTGTATGACTTTTTTTTTGATCTTGCTGAAGTCTACAGAAATGTCAATAAGAATAAGTGAGAGTCAGAAAATAATAGTCTGTTGTTTTAATGAGTTACTGGTCTTTTGTTAGACAAAACTAATAATTATGAAGAACTGTCTTTTGAAAGAATGCTTACTATCCTCTCCATGAATTTTTATGCTATTGTATTGTAACAAGACATTTTTCACCACTGTGATTTTTTCGTAATATTTTAATTTGTATTTTCTTCCTAAAATATGTAATTATGTAATTGCTGCCATGATATAAAGCTATTTTAAAGATAGCATGAATATCTATGTGTCTAGCACTAAAAATAAAATAAAGAGCAAAATGAAACAGAGTTTAGTGCAGGTTCTTGTAATGCAAAGTAAAAAGCCTGACAAGTACTTTATTTTTCACTCCTGAATGGAAACATGAGTTACACTCTCATATCTCTGAGATATTGCCCAGTGACCACCAACAACACTGAATCTTCTCACAAGCCCAAGTGCAGCTTTTTCTATACTTCAATTTTATGGCCCCATTCTGGTTGAGAGACTTTTTTTTTTTTGTTTTTGCAGTTGAATCACAGAGCAAGAAGAACAAATCTGTTCTTCTTCATGTCTAGTGTCTGCTTTGCAGACCTTTGTGTCTCACTCTGTGCCCAGAGACTGCCCTACGCCCACACCTGCCTCAAGAAGAATTATGTTTACACTGTTCTCACTAGCACAGATACTCCCAGGTCAAAAGTTTCAGACTGGTTCAGAAAGATATCTGGCTCTGTGGATAGGATTCAAATATTTTTCTTACTTATCTGATGATACAAGTGCTGTTTCAGTTTGGTTTTCATAGTTGTACATGCTGATGATGAATGCAGTGTTTGACTGAAATCACCAAAGGACCCAAGAAGTTGCTGGCTGTCCTCTGAGATGTGTTTTGTGATCTGTCTCTGCATGGACAGCCACAAAACCAGACTTCTAGTCAAAGGGATCATTGTTCCCATCATTGTGGGCAGATCAGTCTGTAATTTTGTTGCTAAGGCTCACATCAGTGTTTTGATGTGCAGAACGTAATGGGGTAGTGGTTACTAGCCCTTTCTGCTGTGTAAACAATACTGAATGATTGTGTTACTTGCATTGCCTAATTTTGATTTAAAAATGCGCTAGAGCACTTCTTACCCCGCTCTGATATGAATTCAGAGTGAATAGCATCAACAATGTACTTTGTCTTGTGAGTATTAATTAATGTTATTCTCTCTGCTGCAGTATTCAAAACCGGATCGGCACCCGGGGCCCATTCTGCACAAAGTTATGGAGTCGAGCTTTTCAGGCACTCAGTCTTTCCCAGAGGCCTTGTCTCCTGACAGAGGAACCCAGCCCATCAAGCACCACAGGTGAGCAAACATCTGTCTGTGAGAGCTGCCTGGAGAGGCTGGGCTGTGCTGTGCTGGGGCTGGGGGAGCTGCTGGGTGCCCCGGTGCCAGCAGAGCCTCAGCCAGCCTATGGAGCAGATGTCCGAGTATTTTCTTAGCTGCAGACATAAAAGGTAATAGGGATGCTCACTGCCTTCCTCTGGGGGTCATGCCAGTCCTGCAGGAGGCTTTTACAGACGCCATGCGAGCTGCAGGCACTGCCCAGCCAGTGGAACAGCTGTGGCAGGAGGAGCCATTAAATACAAGACTTTACTTATCAGTGTTCATGAAGTTAATGACTCATTTGCTGCAGAAACACTTGGTTGCAAACTTCCAGCCTTTTTCACCATTTCCATAAACAAAAGATACATGAAAGGAATAATGACTTATTTGTGAAAACACGGTTGCCTTTGAAAACAAGGCTTAAAAATGTTTGGATGGTTGTTTCCAAGAGGAAAAAAAAAAAAAAAAAGAGGAATGGCACCTATCACTGAATGAGATTCAGAATAGAATTCTGCTTCTTTTTTTTGGATGAGAAAGATTGCAGGTGCTTCATTACAGGACTAGAAACCAAACTGGAGTCTGGTACAAGCAATAATGTTGGTGGAATGACAGTGGTAACATCTGGTCCAGTGCACAGAGAGAGGGAAAAAAGGCTGAGAAAAATGAGTTTGGAATTTTTTCAGCTAGATAATCTGGAGTGGAAGACATGTTTATTAAAAGGATTTTCTTTTTTAATTACTTAAAAAAAAGTCTGGGATTGCATGAGGTTATGATCTGGCTTCTGTAGCATTTGGTGCATTTTCAGTGCAGTCTCTCAGCCAGCTATGTGGTTTTTTCTCATTTGAATGAGTGATTTACTTAACCTACAAAATGCCACATATAAACCAGAAAGGGATATTTGGGTCCTATCTATTTTACCTTTCTTAAGCCTTTAATTTGGCATGAAAAAAATAATGCCAGTTGTTATGTCAAATCCATTTCTTAGGTCCTTTTCTGTATTACACAGAAATTTTCAAAACATGCTTAATAATTTTATTAAACATACATGAACTATGGGACTGTTGCCTAGAATGCTTTCTACAGAAGTTCTGGGAAGAATTTTATCATCATTTAGTCACAACATGAAGTTCAGAAAAAAACTCATTCCCTTACCTTTTAATATTGTGATTGCAATATCCAAGAAATGTCTTTGCTTTAGAAGCAAAGAAGTGGAATGACTAGTTAATTTATAAAGAATTCTTACGTAGTTTTAAAGCTTAAGATTTATTATACAAGGCCCTTCTTTTATAAAATGTTTACATGAACGTTTAAGACTTGCAAGACTGTCTTTAATTTATGTACCAAATAAAAGCTTCCTAATTTATTTTTTAAATAGTGTTAACTGTGGACAAATAGTCAAATATGGTCAAATGAGGATTTTATACTAAATATCTCTTAATTTCATTCCAAATTTGGCTAAACCTGGAAAAATCATACCAGCTCTGCAGAATTTCTCTTTTATGCATTTCTAAATTCTATTGTTTTATTTCTGCTTGCTACAGAAATACTTTGCTCTTCATCCAGACCTTCTTTTCTCTGCTGGTGTTTTCAAGGACACTAATGATGGGTGATCATTTCTTAAAACAGGAGCTGGCTGTTTCCAGGTCCTGAAACCAATACATTTTTTCCTCGAAGTACAACTGTCAGTGTAGGGAATCATTTGGAGTTGCTGAAATGTGACTGACAGAGCCTGGATAATTATTTCACTCAGATTATGGATAATAGCTATTTTCTGTCTCAACAAACCTCAGCTACACAAAAAGAATTAATGCAGAGATTAAGTTGAAAACTGAAATTTAATCTCAAAAAATATTTAGCCTGTGTTATTATTAATCTCCTAAAACATTTTGCCTGCATTGTGCACTGCTGTTACCGTAGAAGAATGTTACATCTTCTGCTTGCATATGTAAAATAACTCTTAGAGGTGTCAGAATTCAAAATTAGCAAATGTGTTTAATCAGTAAACTTTCTGCATTGTATACAATATGCTCAAAAATTTGTCTTGGATTATGTGTTGATCTTGGTAAGAAGGAAATTCATACTTTCTTATTTTCTGATAGAAATAAATTAGAGTTTTGTTAATTATGGGTTGAGTTGTGATCCCTTTGAATAGCAGTTTCCTTGGTAATTAGTCATCCTGACTTTCATTCATGGATCCAGTCATCCTTGATTTTAGAGGGATTCATTTCATACAATGCCATGATGAAAGTCAAATGCATATGCTTTCAGCCTGGAGCAGTTGTATTGTCTTACAAAAATGCAAAAATAGGATAAATTTACCCTAAAATTAATAATAATTTATGTTTTCATTTTTAATGAACTTTTCACACCATAAAAAGCATGGAAAAGATTTTATTTTTTCATTTGGGAAGCATTTTACTCTTTATGCTGCTAATATAAGTGATTCAGTTTACAGTAGAGGAAAGAGTAGATTAAAGTTATTCTGTAAATAAGGCTATTGAATTTCAAAGAGCAAGTATAAACTGAAGCAACTAAGAATGTAAGGGCAGTGGAATCCTGAAAGGAAGAAAGTGTAAGGAATCTGCTATTTTCCCAAAGAAAAAGCAAAACAGATGGTGAGACAGAGATAATAATTGAAGCAGTTAGGGAAATCCTGAATTAATAGATTTCATTTTTAATGAGAAATTGGGATGACTATTTGAGGACAAAGGTAGAATATTAACAGAATGAAATGCATGACAATAGACATTCCTACACTCAAAGTGGAAGTAAAATGTGGAAATCAAAGCTCTCAAGATGGTTTGATTAATCTTGATCCAAAAAAAAAGAAAAAATTGGAAGAAAACCAGTTCAAAAATTTCATGTCTGGGAGCAAAATCTATAAAAATGGGAACTGTGACATGAGATGATGGATTAGCAAGTGTCAAATATTTAGGAAGATGAGGAATGTATCAAAGTAGGAACCAATTACGCTGAATTTGAATAGTCAAGACTTTAGGCCAAATGTGGGGGAAGAGGATTCTTGCGGTAGATATAAAAAAGGCAAAAAATTGCTTACTATCTTACCAACAGCAGGTACTGCAACATATGCACTGCTGATTGCATGTGTATTTGGTAGGGGTGTTAGATCTCTACACAAGCTCAGTCACTGTTGTCATACGTGTCTAATGCCTTTAAGAGGAGAAAGTAGGGAGAGGCAGAAAAACCCTAATGTGTATGCACAGAGGTGCTTAAAAGGCAGATATGAAGGACTTGGGTTGAGAAGATGAGACATTCACCAGGGCAGCACTCAAAGAATTGGTCAGCACTGGGGACAGACTTTTTTGGTGCCTGAACTAAGGTCACTGAACAAAGCTGGAACACAGCAGAGTGTGAGAATGCACCACTGTTATCTCACCTGGTAAAAGTGGCCTCCCAGTTGCCATGGACTCACACTGCATTCCCAAGCCGAGCTGAGGAATGAATGATTCATGTTCCATGGAAAGTGTCAGAAGTCTGTCTTATGCCAGCCTTCAGTTCAGGAGACTGGAAAGGGTGTATGACTGCTGCTTATGAATACATGAGAGCAAGCACAACGAGAAGCAGAAGACCTATTTAAAAGGAAGGAGTGTGGTGGCACATTTACCAGCTGAATATTCACCAGAAATAACTTTAAACTGAACAGAAGTCTCAAAGTTTTCAATACAAAACAACTTTCTGTAATAGTAGCCTGGATATCATCATCAATTTAGGATAGAGGTTGTTCTGTGCACTCCAGGAATATGATGAGGTTATGGCAGATGATTAAACTCAGTGCAACTGATGTACTTCAAATGCTCTATTCCCTTTTCCTTTTGTTCTATCACCAGGATGGTGACCAGATGACACAGATAGCATTGAAGGATTTTCTTAGAGTTCCAAAGTCCCTGAGTAGCCTCAAAACAGACTATTCCCAAATACAAGAATATTATGAAGGAATAAATAATGCTTACATTTCAGAAACCAAGAGGAGATTTTTATTATTTATTAATACTGAATATCAGTTCAAATTCTCAGTAGTTGATCCATACAAATGTTAGCAGTCGATTGTCTAACAGCCTAAAGAGGGAGTCCTCTGAGGGAATAACAGAGGACGCTGCCTGGCAGCTGGATCAGTATTTGGAGTATGTATTTACTGGGTGGTTTTTAATTAACTCAGAAGTAGTACAGAAGGATTCCAGAGTTACTGCAAAAACACTGCTGGTCTTCTCTTCATGAGCATGGGTAACTGCACTTGGGAGTTGTGTATGCCCCAAGAAGAGATTACTCCACCTGTAGGATCAGATTTTGGTTTTACTCAGTTGCTCAACCCAAAGAAAATTCTCACACAAAACAACTATCAAGAATGAATCCCAACTTCTTAATTAACCTTAGGATGGTTAAATTGCTTTTTTCAAAACATTAATTCATCAGAACTGTATTTCTCCCTAGTTTATGCATCACTTGTGAACCACTTCATACATATTCTGAGTTTTATTCTGGAGTAATTGATTGGTAGATTTTAAAAACATATCTGCTACAGCTTTATATATTGGTCTGTTTTATTGAATGGCTCACTTATATGGGCTGGTTTCTTTTACCCAGTTAGACTGGAGTGCAGCGAGAAAGAAACCACAATGTTGGCTAAAGGAAAATAAATTCCCTGAAGAAAAAACCATTCCAAAAACCATTGTTTGCCTGAGAGGGAGGAATTTTTCACATGAGCAATAGAGAAGTCTGAGAGGGACATTATATTTGCATTGCTGATATTCATATCAGCTTTGTGTAAAAGGAAAAGCTTTGTGCTGGAAATCCTTTTCCATAGAACTTTTAACAGAACTCCTTAGGGTTTTTTCCTGGTGCCTGGAGAAACAACTGTTATCCTGCAGCTTGCAGCTGCACTGTCTGTAAGTATTTCCTGATCTTTAGTGAATTTGTCTTGTCCATGACCTCAAATGATTTTTTGTTCTTACTTCAGTTTTGTTTTGGTTTTGATTTGTTTTTTTTCTGACAGAAATGTTTAAAGCATAAGAACCTCATATTAGCAACAAATTAGACTATGTCAGGGCTGGAAGTTCTGTGGTTGCAGGACTGTGGCAGATCCCTTTGGTCTCAACATTTCTGCAGTTTATACCCATTACCTTAGGCTTAGCTGTATGTGTTGAAATTATGTTTATTACAAATAGAGCTTTTGAGAGTTTGCATATGAAGATCATGTGCTCTCATCCAACAAGGAAGATGCTCAAAGGCATCAAACCAACCATAAATTAAACAATAAAAATCTCTAACTTCAAAGATTCGTAATCAATCTAAATTTTGTTTTTTACTTTTGGATTCCATTGAGGACTATGCTCAAATCAATAAAAACCCCAAAAAACAATTATCCATCACAAATTATTCATTCACCTGCATCTTTTGAGATTCCCTGCTGCATTAATCTCAGGCTCTCCTGAGCAGAAATTGTCAATTATTTTGTTACGTGGTAGTGTTATTTTACAGAATATGAACTGTAACTTGCAACTCAAACTCAGCCTTCAGAACTGAGAGGCCAGTATTTCAGGTTTTTAAAAAGGTTTTTTCACAGCCTCCTTAATAGCAAAGGAAAAATCTTTTTAAGCAAGTATGAAAAATCCTGGAGGGAATGTTATTGCTATGGGTTGTTGGTCTTTTCAATAAAAAGCACTAGAAAAGTAAAGGTGTGGAAGAAAACAGAGATTAGCCTGCAATGGAACACTGCTAGCCTGAGCAGTAGGATAGAGTGTTGAATTTATTTCTTATTTTAATTTTGGTTAGAAAAGGTTGATTTTAATGGAAATGTGCACTCAGAGAGAATTTGTCCAAGTTGCTTGCTCCAAGCAAAAATTACTTTGGGAGTAGATGTGGCCCTAACTATAATTAAAGTTCCCACTAGGTAAAAATGCATATTACTTTTAAGTCACTTTATAATAGGAAAAAAGAAGAAAACTTATCAAACGTCTTTTGCATTTCTGAATTTTGTCACAAGTTGGAATTATTCACACAGCCAAAAATAATGAATTGTAAAAGGCATCCACAAAACCTATGTTAAGTTGTCATTAAAGATGTAAGAGGATATGAGGTAACACATGCATTTCTGAGACCCAGAAGATGCCAAGAGAAATAGGACTAGCTGAAAAATGAATATTCAGTCATGCCATGCAGTACTGAGACCTGTTAGCAGTAAAAATGGGTTATGCCTTGCCTTAGTTCTGTGTTCCCATATTTTTACATTAGCAAGTGTATGGTTTGTATACCAAAACTGTGGATTCTAGATACTTTTTCATTCCTGTGTGAAATGAAAAAAATATCCATTCTCCTTCCAAAACACTAGACATTTACAAAAACCAATTTTCTAAAATAAGTAAAAAACTATGACTTGTTTTTATCCAGTTCAATTTCTATTATATCATATAAAGAAACAGGTTGGTATCAATGTATATAAACAACAAAGCAATCTGTATATAAAACAGGAATAAAATAATACAGAATTACTGTTCAAGGTGGAGAAAACTTGTTTTAGACAGCTTCTTCAATCTGCAGTTCATAAGCTTTGCTTATATTCTTCACTTACACTTTTTCTCAATTTAATGGTTTTGTATCAGGAAGCAGAACTTCACAGATAGAGAATATATTGGGCTTTCAGTTTAGGATCTAATTTTGATTTCAGCTGTGGATATGAGAGAGCTGTATTGTTTGTTTATGCTGTCTGATGACTCAACTCTCTATAGCAGGATTATGATAAGCAGCATGGAAAGGAGAAGCATCCTTCATCAAGTGCAAGAAAACAGTTCTTATAGTAGGCAATTATTTTCATTGCTAGAAAAGAAGGTGATGTATTAAATAATGGCATAAACAGCAGCTAATGGTGGATTGTACTATTGTATTTCCCTAGAGAATTTCTACTGACATCATAGGCTGCCACAACAAAGTTTATAAGAACATTAATTCATGCATTATTAATCCTGAACCTTTACTTTGCAGAATTTTATGTTTTTAGTGTGATAATTTTTACTGTACTCTTGGTGTTGTTCCTAGAAGTCTCTCTTCATGCTGCAGCCCAGGACAAAAAAGTGGGATGCTCCATAGAAATGCCTTTCGGAGGACTCCTCCCTTGCCTCGGGGTAGGTTCAATGGAATTACAGGACCAGCATACCAACAGCTGGAAGAGTCGAGGATCACGGACCAGGACACGATACCTTGTCACGGGTGAGTAACAAGTGAGCCACTTAGGGCCTTATAATTAAAATAATGTACGTTGCAAAGTTGGTTTTCTATAGATAGCTTCACACAGGTTTGTCTTTGAAAATGCACAAAGAATACGCTGGGTTTTCTTTCCTTTTAAAATTCACTTTATTAGAACATTGAGCTGAGCTGTACATAAGGTCTGGGTTTCAGAAGTGCTCCTGAGAACCTGCAGCTGCCTTTGAAGTTCTTTGCAATGCTGAGATACTTTGCATAGTATTTACATATCCCTATAGATTTCCAAAGACTTTCCAGAATAGTACAAGCATATTTTATATGAAAACAGGAGTGATATCTGGAATGGAATAAAAGCCCTGCCAGAGTGAAAGTCTTCACTCTGACTTACAGGTGAAACTGGTGGGGTTGGGTGTCTGGTGAGTTCTTTTAAACAAGTTTGATTCACCCTTGTGTCATTATTACTATTTGCTTATGAGAAAAAAAGTTGTTTATTGTCTCTTGCAGTAAATATATTATTGTTCATTTGTGTGATATGTGCATATAATTCCTGGTGAAAATTTCCTACTGAAATTGCCACCCTTGCAGAAAAGAGCAGGCAGGCAGCCTTCCCTCTCCAGGGCACCGTCGTATGACGCAGGCTCTGGGAGTGCCACTGCCTCCTCCCTGGCTGAGGGTAATTGCATTTGCTCTTGTCTAGGAAATCAGTGTGTGACCTTACAAATATCAGCTTGTACTGGCCTGTATTTTAAATTTGCAGTTCTGCAAAATTTGATATTGGGACCAGACTGTGACCCCTTCTGGCCTCAATCCGCTCAAGCACTTCATCTATATTTTGTGCCCTAAGGATGTTTACCCTCTAAATATCTGCTGGTTTCACAGTTCTCATGAGATTTCCAGCCCAAATGAAAAGTTCCCTTGTCCCCTGCAGGAGTTACAGTGCTTCCTTTCTTCTCCTTTTTCCCCCTCCATCTTTCCCTGTTGGGATGCACAAATCAAAGTGGTTTGTCTCCCTGATTCTGTAGGCATTCTGAACTTCATCCACCAGCAGCCTGGTTGAAGTGTAGTTAGATCTACAGAAGTTGGGGGTGTGTGTATATCAGTGGAAGTGCTTGCAAGGCTGGCCCAGAGCCTGGCAGAGCCCCTGGAAAGATTCCCATTCATCTTTATGGACCTTGTTGTCAGACTTGTACATACACACCTTTAGCCACAGGGCTTACAGCAAAGCTGCTGGGACTATGCTAAATAAAATCCATTTCATATTTAAAATTTCAGCCCGTTATGCCTCTCTTTGATATATATTCTTAAAGGGGGCAGTAAAATTATTGTGCTTCTATCAGTTTCATTCTCTAATTTAGACTCTTACACACTCTATAACATAATTGCTGTTAAATATTTATAAATGTTTGCTTTTGTTGCTTGGTTTTAGGAAGGGAGTGGAGAGAGAGCTGCACTTTGAAACACATGCACATGAATTAATTTATTCAGACAAAATAGTTTTTCAGATAAAAACACAGATATATTTCTTTGGAGGAACTGTGGTTCTGGGAAAGTTAATTATAGGAAAATGTAATTAAGGTTCTGCAATTATAGTTCTAAGTCTCAGTCTATTGAAAACAGCAGCAGTCTGGTGTCACACGCAGAAGCATGGATCAGTTTGTAATTAACTAAAAGCCAAGTCTCACATGGTTTAGATGTAATATCCCTTCTAGTTTAATACCTCACCTGTTGCACACAGTGTATGCACTTTAATTCAACCTCAGTTTTCCTTTGAAAGCCCTGTGAGCACGGGGCAGAAACATGTAATTCTGGCGTAAAATTGGTATGTCTATCTGTATTTCAAAAAATATTATGGAAATACACCAGGCATTTCATTACATGTCACTGCTGCTGCCAGCTACTTTTCGAAATACCAAGAATCTCTATTGTAGAACTGGCAAATGTTGCTGTTTTCTCACCAAACCCATTTTAATTCAGTCTTTTCTTGTTTTTGCTTATATATCATCCATATAATACCTACATTGCATGTGAAATTCATTAAAAACATTCACTCCCTTTGTTTTCAGGGTGCAGCCCAGAATATATTTAGGGCCTGAATTACCAAAAAAGGGACTAATGCAACTGATGCGATCTCTCCAGCTATAGTCGTTTGAACAATTATATATAAGCAAAGGAAACAAGAATGGGCACAACCCAAAGGTCTGCACTGTTTTGTTTTCATTTATTTTTTTTAATTGTCCTCCCTCAGGAATAATACCTCTGATCAGTATTTCATTCATCCTGAGTCTTGACAGCTGGTATAAAAAGCCCCTCCATGAATGGCTACAGGTGTGTCTGAGCATAGTGCCAGTGTAATTAACCAAGTCTCAGATGTAAAACAGCTGCAGAGCACGGACAGGACATTCTAGCACACCTCCCAGAAAGCTGCTTGCTCTGTTATTCCCCTGGGTGCCATTTCTCAAAGCAATATCTCTTTCCTTCCCCTGGCAGTAAAGTTCCCAGCCCTTCCTCCTTATCGCAGAGCTCCCAGATGCTCCTCCTGGGGATGCAGGAGAGTCCTGGGACGGGGCTGTGCCAGCTCCACGTGGGCAGGGGGATGTGTGCAGCAGTTGTGCAAGCTCAGTGCCACCACACACGAGTTAATTACAGGTCAGTGGCACTCTGCTGGAAATGAGCCTGAGGTTGTCTCCTGCTCCCTCCTGTCTGACACCTGGCCAGGAGCATGGGGCCAGAGGAAGCCTTTCCCGTTAATTACTGTTTGTGCCAATACTGGACTGCAGCAGTTTCATGCGATTCAGTTTCTCTTCCTTAACTCTCTTTCTGCTCATCCCAAAAAGCAGGAGGCACATATGAGTAGAAGGATATTCCTAGTGAAGTAACGCAGGCTTAAGGAGCTTTTGGAATAATACCCTTTAAGTCAGAGCACCTGCTTCCACACCAGATCTAAGTGTTGCTCTCCTCATCCATTGATAAAGCATATTAGATTCACCATTACCTTGCCTTATTAAATAGTGATAAGCTGATTATAAATAAATTATGTTCTGGTACTGAGGTGATGTCTGTGGTCCTTAGCAACCATGACTGGCAATAGAGTAACTCCTAGAGCACCATATTTCTAGAAGTACTAATTTCAGATGGGAAACATATTTTCCTTTTTTTGTCATTGTTTATTTTATACTTATTATACTTACCATTTCTGGTTTTTTTAAGTATTTCTTGTAAACAAAACAGAGTTTGTCTTTGAAACTAAATGGAAATGTTGATACAAATTCACTAAGTTCCACACAATCAATAAAATCATATCATATTATATGTGTTAGTGGAGGAAAAAGGATTTTTTTTAACAGTATTACAGTATCAAGAGAACAAGTCCTACATATTATCACTATTTCCAGAGAAAATCTAATACACCAAATCAGGCCAACATTATGAGTATGGGCTATAGAAAAACAATCTTTTTTCAGTGATATTCTGCACTTTGATGCTCTGCTTGTGCAGAAGGAGAGTACAGACAATCATTCCTATGTAAATAACGACTACACAGCCATGAGTGTTTAATGTTCTTTTTATCTGCACTTTTTTAAAGTGTTTTCCTAAAACAACCATTTGACACTGAGAGTTTTGACACTGAAGAAAGTATCAATCCGTTTCCCTGATCAGAAATGTAGGAATAGAATTTGAAATTTATTTCAAAGAAAATTAATAATACATTATAACTTCTGAAATGTTTTAAAAAGAAATTTCCATTATTCTCATTTATTGGTGGGTCAAATAAGACAGAGAGAAAAGCAGTGCTTTGCCACTGGCAGATTTGAGACTCAAAACCAGTCTCCAGAGCCTGTCGTTTTCCCCAGGGCCCCACCACAGCCAAGTGCTCCTCTATTTCGGGAGAAAATGGTGTGTATCTCTTCAGCACAGTTCACTGACTCTCACACAGTGTCCCTGCTGCTGGTTGCTCTGACCACCTGATCCACAGCAAAAACTCTTTTTTACTCTTTCCAGGTATTCGTCCAGTGGTTTAAAAACTCCTCAGAATCCTTCAATAAATATGCAACTGCCTTCAAGAGAGACAACCCCATATTTTAATAACGTGGATCAGAAGGACTTGGTCAGCTATTCCTCGTCAAGGGCCAACTCCGTTCCCATCATCCCATCTGTGGGCTTGGACGAAGCCTGCATGCAAATGCAAAATGTTCCTGAAGTAACAGGCATCAAATGGTGCAAAAACTCCTATTCTGCTGAACTTGTCAATGTGAGTTCCCCAGTCAGTAATTGTCTAATAGCAGAACAACACGAAGTGAAAGTATTGCTAGAAACTGTGCAGGAGCAGATCCGGATCCTGACGGACGCGCGGCGGTCGGAGGACTTGGAGAGCGCGGAGGCGGGGAGCGGCGCGGGCGAGAACACGGCCTTCCTGCCCATGAGCCCCACGGCCAAGGCAGAGCCAGAGGCACAGTTCAGCCTGAAAAGTGAAACGCAGAGAGACTCGGTATTGACCAAGTGACTCCGTGTGGGGGCTGTGGGAGGGGAAGCGAGAGGTGCGTTCGATGCTTTGCTAAACAGGAAGGGAGGAAGTTAAATACAAATTATTTATATGCATTAATTTAAGAGCATCTACTTAGAAGAAACCAAATAGTCAATCGCCCTCATATCATAGTGTTTTTTAACAAAATATTTTTTTAAGGGAAAAAGTTCCAGAAGGGATGAAGCGTGCTTTTAGATGCTTTCTAGGCAGGATTACACAGTTCCAGTTACAGAGGATTTTTCCGTGGTCCTGTTTGGCTGTCTGAAGGCTTAGGCTATGCATCTCTTTTTCAGTAAAGGCCAAGTACCGTCCTTAGATGCATTTCTGGTTTCAGGGCAGCACTGCAGGGAGCTGCTGGGAAGGGATTCAGACCCTGGAGAACATGTCCTGTAAGCTCAACACAGATCCAGTGCCCTCTCCCCCTCTGCTCTTGATTCCAGGTTCACACCTCAAAAACAGGCACCCAGACACCTAGTTCTGAGTTCTGGTACCTGCTGTGGAATGATGACAATGTCCCTGAATTGAGCAGATGCTTAACTCTCAACCTTAATTCAATGTGTCAGTCATCCCAAGAAAGTCAATGGAATTATTTATGAGCTTTGGGATTGGCCAAGAGTGGGAGCAGGATTGGACTCTACAGAGATTCAGTGAGTCCACAGCTACTCCATCTTCTGAGCTTTGCCTGTCAGAGCTGCCTTGGTGGAGAGTGAGGCAGAAAGAAAAAATGCATAAGTGTGTACTACAACAGGTTTGTTTTTGGTTTCTGGTTTGGGTTTTTTTAAGTGGAAACATAAACTCTGTTGTTCGTTAGCACCCCTCAACATTTCTAAACTTTCACACTTTAAAAGCATTTGTAAGCTCTCAAGGAGCAATTCTCTGTGTGCGTATATTTTTTTTAACTTATTTTTTATTATGGCTTGTTCAGAGAAGAGTCAGGGAGATCCAGTATGATCAAAATCCAGCCAATAAGTGTCCATACTGCCTAATTTGTTCCTGCATCCAGTTCTCCAGTAACTTTAATTAATTATGGCTTAGGCTTGTGAACTTTAAAGCTTCAACCCTGCAGATGGTTCAGTATGGGCAGACCCACAGGCATGCAGAGGTCTGACTCTAATGGAGCTTTCTAAGAGCAGATGTTTTCCACCAAGTAGCTCCCTACAGGGGACCAAGGCCTTAGAGAGAATGTGTCATTCCCTGGTTGCCGTATCCCAATCACATTATAAGCCCTTTTTCCATTTGCTTTCTTTTGAGTCCCTCTTCCCCTCATAAATTGTGAAAAAAAGTGCCAATTGGGTTTATTAGTGTTAAAATATCTGCCTATTCTCGGGGGGAAAAAAGCAACTATAGTAAATAATTGCTAAATAGCCTTCCCTGGTTAGTGCCAGGACATTGGTTAAAAAAAATAGGGTATATACAGAATGTATTAAAATATTCCTTTGAAGCAAAATAATTGTTAGATTTATTGATGTGACCCAGACTTTCTAGTTCACAAGTCTCAAGACTTCCCAAAATAGCACAATCAATCCTGCAGTGCTGTTGTATGTTGAGTCAGAATAAAGCAATATCTTAACCTCTGTCAAGTAAATTTGGAAAAAAAATGCTGAAGATGTATGTCATTTTCTTTTTTTGTTAAGGCAGTAAAAAAAATTATTTTTGACCGTCTTCATTCAGCAAGTCTTATTTTGGGTTGCTTTTGTGGTTTTGGGGGTACTTTTAAAGATAAAGTTGATGAAAGTGTCCTGTTTACAGAATTTTCTACGGCTGCAATCTTTGCTGTGTGTTTTCAACAGAAATGTATTTGAGGGCAAGGTATTGTTTTATGCCCCAGGATGGAGCATGAGGTGTTCAGACTCCCTTCTGCAAAGACAAGGCTTTGTTGTAGCAGTGAGGGGGGATCCCTGTGGGGTTTGGGCTCACCCTGACATTTTCCTGCCACATGTGGTGGCTGGGCACAGTCTCACTGTGTGTGAGCCAAGCTGGCTGTGGTGGGCATGGCCCTGAGCCACACCAGATAAACCCTCTGAAAGGCAGGGTGTGTTTGGTGGGGCTCAGCTTTGCACCCCTACAGCCATTGGACTTTTCTGTCAACAATCTCTGCATCCCCCCACCTCAGAACATGAGCAAAGGGAGGTCATGAGCCTCTGCCCATAAGCCCTGTGGACATACCTGAATTTTCATATTATATGAAAACCGGGTGCTATATAAAGCTCTGGTTCAACAATTTTCAAACAGTGATCACAATTAATTAATTGTTCTCCATTACTTTCTTCGGGATGGTCTTTCTGCAATGCAGTGCAGAATCCAACCTAAAATGGTGCTTAAAAATTCAATCTTTTCAATTCAGATGCAAGGTGTTCCCTCCCACAAGCTCCTCAAATTCATCTCTGGAAACATAATGGGAACACACAGCAAGATTTCAGTTGAAGAAAAAACCATATCATAGTCCATGCCTTTAGGGAGAGAATGTGTTCATGCAGCACCCCAAGAGACCCAGAAAGAGGAGACGAGCAATGTATTTAAGAAAATGAAATGTTTTACTGAATGATAGCTGAAGATCTGAAATGGTGAGGATGTCTTTGGTTCATGTTAGAGATACGATCTTGTACTCGGCAAAGGATGTGTGACTGTTATATGTTAACTGTTCTATTCAGTTCTCAGCATGTTTGAATAGAGAGACGTTAATATTAACCAATGACAGACTAGTGTATTATTTGTTCAGAGCATCACTTCAGATCTTACTGAAACTGTCATTGTTTGCAGAGGAAAACAAAAAGGGTTGAAAACATCCAACTAGGTAGCCTTAATGTTGTTTGTGTGGTTTTCTAATGCAACTGTTTTCCTCTGTGGACCTTCCTGTTTTACAGTGAATGGGGCAACATTTTCTCTGAGGTCTGACAATTAATTGTGTAAAGCATCCATTTGAAAGTCACACTCAAACAGCCAACATGGTAGGCCAAATTTTACTTTGCTTCTGGTCCCACTGAACTCGTGGATTGGAAGGGATGCAAGTCATTGAGAAATGCAATTCATTCCTAAAGTACATCTGTCCCCAGCCTTGGAGACAGTCTGTAATCCCCCTAGAAGAGGCTCTGAACTCAGTCGTTTATGTGGATCATAATTAAAAATTTTATCTGACCTATGAAGTTCCAGGTGTAATCTGGTGTGAAAATTTACACACATAGCATTGCATTCAAACAAACTGGGAGAGCAGCTGACTAAATAAATTGAACTTTCTCTGAACTGAGCAGAGAGAAAGCCTGTGTCTCCAGCACAATGCCATGGAGAATTGTGAGAGGTATATATCCTGATCTTTTTAAAAAATTTACTTCTGTTTAGAATTTCTTCATAAACAATCCAAAATAACCCTAAAAAAATTAAAAACCAGTAGAACAATCCCAACATTTGAAATAGGAGATGTGGGTAAGTATGGGCACATTTGCAGTGTTTATCATTGAAAACCTCTTCAGTATCCCTAGGCCCAAAGCTGGAATGTTGTAATTTTTCCAGGCACATGTTTAGATCAACAAACAGTTCTGTGGTGCCCTTCAGAATGCCTTTGGTACCTGGCCATGCTCACAGCTGGTGTGTTCAGTGCAGCAATGACAGTGTGTGTTAATGGAGGATCACATCCCAGATCCGTGCTGCTTGATGCCAGCGTAGTGCCACAAAGTTTAGTAGTCTCCCATGTGATATCAGCACTGCTACACGGATTTATTTTGCCTTTGAGCATCCCAGCAGAGTGTGAGCCCTCTCAGCTCCTTGGCTGGGTGACTGGGTTGGGCTGTCAGCTCCATCTGGCACAGGCTGTGTCCCTGGCCAGGCTCAGCAGCAGCGAACGTGGGGCTGATCCCAAAGCCACTCAGCAGCATCCTTCAAGTTTAAATTTTGAAAAAAACAATGAGCTGATGTCATGTGCTTATAACCAAGCATGTGCTCAATATGCTCCCAAATTGAAAAGTTAACAGTTAATTCACACCTACTTCTCATGGAAGTAGGGAAAAAAATCTGGATTCCTTTTCCCAGTTTATCCCCAGGTTCCTGTTGTCTCATTTTGGACATTACTTGAACATTTCTTACTCTTATAAGAAATTCTGAAAATTAATACCAAAGAAGAACTCTGAAAGAGTCCTACCTGCAGAAAATAAATTTGAAGCTTGAAGGAGCAGACCTGGAATAAAAACTGTGTTAAAGTGGTATTAATATCAATTGCCTTTCAATAAAAATGGAATTTCCCAGTAAATTCTTTACCCCTTAGGAAAACAATGAGTTTATAAAGTGATTTCTTACCTTGCCATGAATTTAAAATGTTTATCTTCAAGGAGATTGGGAAGAAGCAAATATTTAGTATAGATTTTTCAGCATTTTGTGATTTATTTATTTTTTTAATTTTATTTCAGCAGCCAAACAGGTCAATGAACCCATTATATGTATTGTCTGACACATAGTCATAAAGTCTCCTCTTTTGTGGTCCAAAAGTTGTAATGATGGATTTCCTCAAAGATATCAAGATTTTATCTAATTTTATTTTTAAATTGTTCATAGAATAATACAGTTATTTATCTTGCTGAAAATATAAAGTGATGCAAACTTTTTTTGGTTTTGTACTGCATTATTGCTGAATTCACAGCAAGATTATGCTTCCTTTGTTTTGATGTCTGCTTACAGGAAAACAACTGACACCCAGTTTTCAGGTTTAGACTTGGCACTTCCAAATTATGAAATCAGACAGGATTTCTGTATTTTCCATAGCAAAGTTCAAACATGATATAGAAATCAAAAAGCTACAACAGCAGTAAAATGACTAATATAGGGGGCCTGTGTTTGGTTTGGTGGGTTGTTTTTTCATTTTTATTCCATGGCAATCAGAGGATTGTGCCACGGGAATTGGTAGTCTCTTGCAAGAAATACAGAATGTATTAGAGAGAGTGGAAAGTCATCACTATAGCCCAGATCTAGAAAAGCCACAGTGCAGGAGTTAATAGTCATCCAGTATCTGCTGCAGGAGATGAGAGTGCTTTCATCTTAATAGTAAAAACCAGTACAGTTCTTTACCTGTTGAAAGGTTTACTTGCTAGGAAAGGTAAATTATCTGACTTTATTACTGACCACATTATTGACCACAGTGGGAGTGTTTGATTAAAGGAAAAGGGGCAGAAATTTCCAGTTTTTTCCTGCTTGCCTTGTCCCTTGGAACAAATCTAATTATGTTTTGGGTCTGTATTATTAGAGCACTGTTTCCAGTGCTTCAGAGACAGAGTGCTCAAACCTCACTGATGGCCTGCACTGACTCTTCTTTGATTGAAAAGATTTAGCAGTTTCCTCTTTGATCAACACGCCTGTAAACAAGGAGTGATTTTTCTAATACCCCACAAGGCTGTTCTTATGCAAGTTTTCCCGGATAAGTAATAAAAGTAGCAAGACCACCTATAATTCTACTTCATTTTTTTGTAATATAAGAAGCAAAATATTTTATAGCTATAATGCAGAAGAGTTATTGATGACTGAAGTATGTAAATAAATTATAGGATATAATGTATGCCAGCAGCATGGAAATCCTGAATATGTACCATAGATTTTAATAATATATTATCTTCACACCATCAGGAGACCTACATGCAGTTTATAGTTTTGCTTTCCTTGAGGGGACCTTGTGGTGTGTACCACATTACTGTAGTGACTGGGCACTGATGTGTCCCTGTCCTTATTTCTTGTGTTGCAAGAGCCACTTCTGTGCTGTCCATGCCTGCTTTGGTCTAACTGAATTCACCCAATTTGTAACCATTCAGCTTCTTCATTCACATTCAGTTTTACCTTGCCCTCAGAATCAAAAGTATCAGCCTGACATCTGGGACCCTGAATAAATTCAAGGCCTTAAACAATTTAATGCACTTAACGTTTGTCTGCTTTGGTTTGACCTGATGGGAAAGCTCTTCCTTGAAGAAGGATTTATGCAGCCTGTGCTGCAAGACACTTTCCTGCCATTCCTTCAAGGAATATGGAACAAGAGCTCCCAGTTGTGTAAATATTTGGAAACAAAAAAATGCAAATAATAAGAGAGGAATATAAGAGAATATACAAATAATGCTACTAATATTTTATATTCTAAAATGAACAATACTTCTTTGCCTTCTCTGAAATACACAGTAGTAGTTAAAGGTTATCAAGATGCATCAGAGACAGGAAGAAGACTTAGTGAGGCTGGTTTATGTCATATGTATTTTCTCAGGAAATCCAGGCTTGGAGATTCCCTTGCTTACATTAAGATGATTCTTTCATAGCATGAGATTGACTCCTATACATTGCATACCTCAGCAGAAGCAGGACAGAAACACAGTACAGGCTTCACTTTGGCTTTCTGACTCAAGTTAAACCGTCTTGCTTTAGATTATCTCTGATCTCTTCCAGGAAAGAATAAATGAATATCCAAAAAGAAAAGAAGAAGGACTTGAATACTTGATGGATTTTTTTTTTAATCAAAAATCAACCAATTGCTATTAAGAATGGAGCAGTCTGCTGAATTTCAGTGTTCTAGGAATAGCTTAGACTTACACTGCTCTTGATGGGGCAGACAGCAGGTGGTACAAGCATCACCACTCTCACCACCCCAGCAAGACACACTCGGGACAGCTGGAGAACAGACAGGGAGCTTCTCCTGACTGTGGCACAGTTTTTTCCATGACTGGAAAAAGGAGGGATGGAATTTATGTCGGGCCAGATCCACATAATCTGAGAAATTTACCTTTTGTTTCTTTCTCAGATCATTCTTGTTTCACTGAAATTCTGGTCATCACCACTAGTTTGTTTGTAAGTTAGGGATTTCTAAATTCTGCAATCCTTTGAAGTGTTGAATTTAAGAAGCAGAGACTTCCAAAGAAAAAAGTGATTTTTTTTTCTGTAATTTTTAAAAACCATTACAAATGCATGTATTGCATTAACTATTTTTTTTTTAAATCAGATGTTGGAAACCTACATTACAAATATCTATATTTACATACTGATAGTAGGGGATGGCTAAGATCTGTGTTTTATGTTTCTCTTGATCTTGTTAAAGATGTCCCAGCTTGTTGCAGGGGTGTTGGACTAGATGACCTTCCAACTTGAATTATGCTATGTTCAAGTTAGTTCTTTCAAGTTGCCCACAAAAAGCTGGATATTTCTGTATGCATAAACGCTAACTTTAGGTTGTAAAGGTAAATAAGATATTTGGACTACATAAAACTTCCAGGTCAGACTCTAGTGTTGCACAAGTGCAGCTGTTTCACTGCAAGCAAGTTAATGTGAAGGCTCCCAAAGGAGGATATCTGTGGTGGCTCAGCAGCTGAGCAGCCTGAAATAAACCCCAGGTCTGCCTGTACAGTGCTAACCTCTGCTTCTTTCCAAAGGTGACCCACAGGGTGTCTGAGCTCCTCCACCAGTGACTGTGCCAAAAGGCAGGTGTCAGCACTGACTTCTGTGAAGGCTCCTCTCATTAAATCAAAATGAAATAATATGAGCTAAAAATTGATGGGCTGGATTCTCCCAGGTATTGCCAGGTTATATGGAGTGTCAGCAGCAGTGCTGATTTACAATTTCTGAGCCTGTGGCCCATGGTTTGACCTAATTCATTAGTTCCCACCACCTGAGCTGGGGCAATTTAAGCAGAAATGTCTCTGCCCATCAGGGTAACTTCAGAAAATTGCTAAAGCAGTTTGATTCCAACTAACCTCATTTTTTTTTAACTTCATTGTATATTCCCCTTGATTATTGCAGAGGTGAAGCTGCCTCCAAAGTCTTAAAATTGTCATTGCTGCTCTGTCTTTGCCAGATTTATGGTCTCAGCTGCAGTTCTGACTCCAATTCTACAGATCAGAGCTGGCTCTTGCAGCCCAAAATCGTGTATGTACCATAGAATAGCTTGGTTTGGAAGAGACCTTTAAAGATACCTATTTCCATCCCCCTTTCCATGGGAAGGGACACTTTAAAATAGATCAGGTTACTCCAACCCCATCCAACCTGAGCTTGAAAAGTTCCCAGGATGGGTGGCCTCAGCATCCCTGGGCAGCCTGTGCCAGTGCCTCCCATCCTCACAGGGGACAAACAGTACAAGCAAAACTCTCCATGCTCGTTCTGCAGCAATTGGATTCATTCAGATCTTGGCGCAATCAGGCTGATTGTTCACATTATCAATTTTATTTAACAAAGCTATCTCTTAAATATAATTTCCATGCTGCTTCTCTGGATGTTATACAGAGAAGAGTGAAGGCAAATTCAGCTTGTCTGCATTTTCACTTCAGATAACAATGGTATTTTTATCCCCAAAGCAGGTCAGGAGACCAGCTCTAAATTTCTGAGCTGCCTGTGGGGAGTGGGGTTATTCTGAACATGGTTTGTCCATGTGCTTTCTTATCCAATCTGTCTTTCTTCCCAAGAAGCCCTCTTCCTTCCAACAGCTCTTATTCCTGAAAACATCTAAAACATTATGCAAAGCTAAGGCAAGAGATGTACTCTTGTCCTCTGTGCAGAAGAGACAGCGGCATCAGTGAGGGCTAATTACCAAAAATTTCTTCAGCTGATTCCATTAGCATTTGCACAGACAGGTGGTGCTAAAATTACTCTGTATGGTTTGGTCAGCCTTATTTGCAGGCTGTGACATATATAAACTGTTTTAAATTGTTTATGGTTTGCAATATCTTGGGCAAACTTTCAGAATGCTCAGGACAGCATTTGCCACTCTCCCTAACTTCCATCTCAGTTTCATTTGTCTGGTGGATGTTTCTGTGGCAAGGGGGCTGCACCAAGTCCTACATCACCTTCTGGCAAGCAGGACAAACCAGCCCTTCCTGAAGCCTTGCAGGCAGTGCTCTGGGGGGTGAGAAAGCATCCCACAGGCTCAGACCCCTCTTTGGGCAGGGAACAGGGTTTACAGTAGGGCAGGCCTCTGATGCTAAAAGTTAAAAACCATCCCTAGGTTTTGGGCAACTTGGAAAAACACCCTGGAAATCACTATCGCTTAAATAAATTCCTGTATAACTTCACAGAGACTGGCAACAAAGTTGTGATTTTCATTTCAGTTTCTCTGGTAAGTAGTGGAGTAGCTTTGCATTTCCATGAATTTAAAGCTGTCTCTAGATGGCTTCAGAGAGCAAAGAGAACCCATCACTGTGGGAGCGGCTGTGCTCTAGGAAGGTGCTGTAGCTCATGGGCAACTTTCCATCCCTGTGGGCAGGATCTGGGCACCAGCACATTGCCTGTCTTCCTCAATTAGAGAGGCCAGGCAGAGCCCTGCGCTCCTCGCTCACAGGCTGCTGATGAGGCCTGGAGCAAATCCCTACACTAAAAGCACTTAAAAATGGAACAGAGGTGATGGAAACGTGGTTTGTTCACTGTGAATATCCAGCTGGGATAGTTGGAATAACTGCAAGGGAAGAATTGCCTTTGCAAATCATGTGCCTGATTTACTGGTTAAATAGTTTTTCAGTCCTCCCTATTTAGTCAACAAGGACATTAAGATGTCTAGAAATAAAAGTGGAATGATTGGTTCCCAGTACTAATCTTAATGGTCACAAATCCAATATTTCAGATTTTTTACTTAGCACTTAGCAAGTAGAGTCAA